GAAGCTTCAGTCAGCGACAGGGGGTCGACTTCTTCCAGACCTTCTCCCCCACCCCGAAGATGACTACTCTTTGGGTGTTGCTGCACGTTGCAGCACAGCGTGACTACGAGCTGCACTCCCTCTACTTCTTGAAGGGCAGCCTTCACGAGGAGATCTGGCTGCGTCGCCCACCTGGCTTCACTGGGTCGTTTCCTGCGGGTACCCAGTGGAGCCTCTGGCAGCCAGTCTACGGTCTCCGCCAGGCGCCCCGCGAGTGGCACGACACACTGAGGACTACACTTGTGGCTCTTGGGTTTGCTCCTTCCTCTGCTGACCCGTCGCTGTTTCTACGCACCGACACTACCCTACCGCCGTTCTACGTTCTCGTGTACGTCGACGACTTGGTTTTTGCTACTGCTGACACTGAGGCGCTGGCCCTAGTGAAGGCGAAGCTGCAAGAGAGACACACCTGCACTAACATGGGTGAGTTGCGTAGCTATCTTGGCTTGTAGATCACCCGGGACAGAGTACGGCGCACCATCACCCTGACTCAATCACACATAGTGCATCAGGTCCTTTGGCGCTTTGGCTTCCAGTACTCCTCGCCACAGCCCACTCCTGTGCCTACTGGCCACTCACTCTCAGCTCCACCTTCGGACGAGTCCGTAGAGCCGAGTGGTCCGTATCTAGAGCTCGTAGGTTGCCTCATGTACCTGATGACGTGCACACGACCTGACCTCGCATACCCTCTCAGCCTCCTGGCTCGCTACATGGCTCCCTGTAGACACCGAAAGGTGCACTGGGATGCTGCGAAGAGGGTATTGCGGTACTTGTGCAGTATATCGGGCATGGGGCCCGTGCTTGGAGGACGGGGTTCAGTGGTACTCACAAGACACTCCGCGCTTCTTGGGCCGACGACCAGGCGACTCAGCGTTCGTCACAGGGTTACACCTTCAGTCTTGGCCCTGGTTCTGTCTCGTGGAGGTCCACACGTTCTTCTTCTGTGCTTGGTTCCAGCTGTGAGGCCGAGATTTACGCTGGGGCTATGGCTGCACTGGAGCTACGCTGGCTGACCTACCTGCTAACCGACTTGGGGGAGCGGCCTCGTTCTCCTCCAGTTCTGTACGTCGACAACAAGGCCATGCTTGCCTTGTGTCGGGAGCAGAGACTGGAGCACAGAACGAAGCACATTGCTCTTCGCTACTTTCTTGATCGAGAGCTGCAGCAGCGTGGTCAGCTTCGCCTTTCTTACGTGGCCTCTCGGGCCAACACTGCTGATGTCTTCGCCAAGGCCCTTGGGTCTGGTGATCTTCATCGTTTTTGCACTGCTCTTAGGCTTCTGCCCGTTCTACCTCACCTGCTTGTCTCTTGATCTTGCATTTGTTGTACACTGATATCGATATTTATATCTGCATGTTTATTCTTGCTACGTTGTGATCATTGTACTGCCTTGCTATTATCACTCTACATGTGAAGTGGCCTTGTGGCTACTTGCTTGTACTCAGAATGAGTGGTGATCTTGAGATCCACCCTGGGCTTTGCATTGCTTTGTTCTCTTGCCTGACTAGTCTTGTGACCGTTTGTTGTGATGGCTATCCCTCACTTTGCCTAGGGGGGTGTGTCAAAACATATTTGTATGTTCCTAGTGCTGCTAGGCTACAGTGAGGTGCTCAGTATAGGGTACAACACCAGTTAGGGCTTCATACTTGTATCTTCCGGTTGCTAGTCACTCATCATTTGTACGCAGATTATTCTGACAGCGTGTCCTTCGGTTTCCACGTGGCGGTTGGCGACGCCTAGAATGTGACGACAGTTTCGGTAGTACGCACGATGAAGAATATCACTTTCGCAAATTTCGCAGCTTCATCGAACGGGTGCAAGGTACATGCACGCGCTTGGAAAACCGTGCTGGCAAACATTTTATTTGCGATCTCGACCCATGATCAGTGTCCATGTTGGTTCCCTGATTGGGCCTAGCATTGACGAAATTCGCAATTCCAATTTCGCGAACTTTGCGAAATAGGTTACCAGTCAAAGCTCCAACGTTTTTTCGAACTCTGACCATCAAGGACACTCGCCCTTAGCGGCTGTGCTTGAAAATTTATGTCCCACGTTGTGGTGCGGGTTGCTGTTGTGCTTGGGTCTAAGGTGCTTCCTTGAGTCTCTTCTATTTTCACCTTCCTCCCTTCCTCGTATCACCCTTACATTTTTTCCACCACTTCTATCTTCTCTCTTTCCTTATTCTCGTTCACTTCAAATCCATGGCTGTGTATTGTAGCGAGACAACCCATCCGCTGGTCCAGCACGATTGTCACAGATACCAACTCCGCACGCTGCGTCCCAACTCGCAAGAATTCCTAGCGACTTTTGCAACCATCAGTTTTATCGCCAGCCCATCGCGCAGGTCTGATGAGGAAGTTCGGGGAGCCGTCAGCCACAAGCTCCGCCACCGCTTCACCGGAACAGATCGTGTGATCCCAACGCGCCCTCACTGTAGCACGACTGGCCATCTCTCCATTCCCTCGCCCACACCCCGCTCGCTCCCTCGAGATTTGTTCAAGCAAGATTGCGAGGGCTCATGTACAAGATATCTAGGAAAAGTTGCGAACAGTTCTTGCGGTATCTCGATTTTGTTGTAACCACCCTTCTTACAAGAATGGGGCATCCTTGGGAATTCATTCTCACACACGTCGTTGAAACCAAACTGTACCTGAAGAGGTGGGTCCAGGAAGGAGAGGAGAGGAGGGGAGAGGAGGGACTGGTGAGCCTGAGCGAGATCGGGACAGGTTGCTGGGAGCGTCTGGCGAGTCGAACCAGCGCCATTGCCGCGGCGTGATTCTTTACGTGCTGCGGCACTGCGTCCTGCTTGGTCCTCGCGCTCCCAGCATCATCTTTCTTCAAGCGAGTCCAGATATTAGGACTCCGAGTCCCGAACGTTAGAGCGGCTCTTTCGGAGAGATAAGGAGATAAGGAGACAAAGAGAGAGGCCAGGCTGTGGTTGCACGGGATCCAGGCTGAGGTGACAGACCCCCAATCTCGCGACAAACGTCTCAAGTGACTCGACTCGACCGCAATCTCTCCTCTCTTGTCACCCAGCCTCCCACCACTCCTAAGCGCGCTCGTTCCCTTCCACACACCGGTCTCCGTCCCTTGCCGCACTGTTCTTTTTATGAGGCGCCTCTAAAGTAGACTCCTCACACCGGTCTCCGCCGCTCGTCACACCGTTCTACCGCTCCTTTGTGACCAACCACGAGGCACCCCGCTTTGTACGCGACTTCTCGTGCCGGACGTGACCGTCCCGCTGCTTTCTGCTCTCCTCGCCGCATTTGCGGACTCTGATTGATTCAGATTCGGATCTGGCAGAATGGTCGCGAGTCTGTTCGTCGAGGCGGCACGCGGCGCGCAGCTGGAGGTGCTGCGACAGGCGACGGTCTGGGAGCGCATCTCCGTCGCGACGACGCTCGCGATAACGTTCGCGAAAGAGCTGGTCGGGATATGTGGTAACGCGCCGTACGGGTTTCACGCCATGGCGATGTATCGGAGCGTGTTCTACGCCAGTAAACGCGGGCTCGAAGGTCCGCGGAGCACTGGCGGAAACGGAAGCGGGGAACTGGACGCGGCGGGAGGGGAGATCGCGCGCGGAGAAGCCGGGGATGCGGAAAGCCCGTCCGCGGCTCGGCGGTCAGCGATTGGGATCCGGAAAATGCGGAGACAGCTGACGTCGACAGGTAGAATTGGCAGGGGGGAGGATTGGGGGAGGAACGGGGGAGGAATGGGGGAGAATTGCGGAATGGAAGGCGAGGTGGAATGGGGCCATGGAGCAGGTTGTATAGTCGGAGGGAAAAGGTGAGCGGGAAAGGAGGAGGTTGCAGGGAGGGAAGGGAGACGAGAATGTGACGGCGCAGAGCGGATTGAGAAGCTGCTCAACTGCTATTGGTTAACATTCTCCTTCCCCATTTGCTTGATCGAAGAGGAGGAATCATGCTATTCCTTCCCTTACTACCTCCTTTGGTGCTGCTTGCTTTCCCCTGGCTTCGCTTGGCATGGTGTGTCCTGCCCTGATTTGGCACGGCATGGGGCTGACGTGGCATGACGTGGCTTTTCAGTGTGGAACTGGGCGTCGTCGATGGAGGCGATGCTGTGGCAGGGTCTGCCACATGGCGGCGTGCAAGTGGTCTACGATATCCGCTACGGCCCTCGTCTGCGCAACACGTACGTGGCGGGGGAGGGGATGATGTGGATGTGATGGGATGACGAGACATGGGACGGGATAGCCTGGGATGTGTGAGTGTGGGGATGGGGATGGGGATGGGGATGAGGAGGGGGATGACTTGGTGGAAACGTGATGGCATGGTGTGGCATGGGCAGTGCGCAAATGTCGGATTTGGATTCCCAATTTGCAGGTTTCCCAATGTCTTAATCTCTGTTGTGTGACTGTCATTCAAGAGAGAAACCCCCTTATGACTTGTGTCCCTCACTTGCCTACCACAGCCTTGACATCTACATGCCACCAGATCTGGCACTTGACAGCAATGCAGCAGAACGCAGCAGCAGCAGCAGCAGCAGCAGCGGCACTGGTGTTATTGTCACTGGCAGCAGCTCTACTAGCAACAGCAGCAGTGATACCAGCAGCAGCTGTAACGAAGGAAGCAAGGGGCGGCCGGTGTTGTTTTTTGTGCACGGGGGAGTGTGGGCGAGTGGCGAGAAGTGGATGTATTCTCCGCTCGCGATCCGATTCGCTCAGTCAGGGGCGGTGGTGGTTACCATTCAGTACACTCTCTACCCCGAGGTAAGTCACATGTACACCCTCCATTCGCTCCTCCTCCCGCCCCACCTCCCACCCCCGTAGCCCCCTCATCCTCATTATTCAGCTCATCTGCTGCGACTGCTGCTGAGAATAATGGCACACGGGAGCACATGAGCTGCTCCCGTGTCGTCTTCCCTGTCTTCTCTTCTCAGTCTCTCCTCCCGCTCTCGCGTCCTCTCCAACACCCGTCCTCCTCTCTCCCACTTCCAGGCCCATGGCGTCGACCAGGCTCAAGCAACGCCAGCCGTGCGCGCTCTCATGGGCATTGGATCACATTCACGAGTATGGGGACGACCCTTCCCAGACCCCTCACATGTGTTTCCCTTCCTCTCCCTCCCCCCTCTCCCCAACCCAGGCTCTTGCTATAGACCAAGTAGAGGAAACGTCCAGGGCGCTCTCATGGGCAATGGACCACATTCACGAGTATGGGGGCGACCCCTCGCGCATCTTCCTCACAGGCCACTCCTCAGGCGCCCACGTCTGCTCCATGGTTGTGTGGCGCCGCCTCAGGTCTGCCCTCCGCCGCATGTTCCAGGCACATGCCTCGAATGCAGCATCAGCACCCACGGCTGTAGCAGAGGACAACAGCAGCAGCGACAGTACCAACAGTAGCAGCAGCAGCAACAGTACCAGTACCAGCAGCAGCTGTGGCAGCGCCAGCAGCAGGGAGGGTAAATCGCCACATTACACCCTCAAAGGAGAGAATCTCTGGACTCTAGACGAGCCGGATCTGAGGCAGCCCTACTGTTTCCTGGGCATGAGCGGTGTGTATGACATAGCTCATCACCAGAGGCACGAGCAGAGGCGGGGTGTGTTTGCTCTCTCTGCAATGTCACCTGCTATTGGCGGGCCGGCACGGTTCGTCTCATCCTCTCCTGCTCTGCTGTTTGATGCTCTCGCATCCGCCGCTGCTGATGCTGCCAGTGCTGCTGCGGAGGCTGTTGCTGCGGGTGCTGTTGGTGGCGCTGCTGGTAATGCTGCTGTTGGTGATGCTGCTGCTGATGCTGATGCCTCTGCTGCTGCTGCATCATTCTTGGCGTCGTTTGACTGTCCAAAGAGTCCTCTTTTGTCTGCTGCTGCTGCTCCTGCTGCTCCTGCTTTTGCTGCTGCTGCCTCTGTTTCTTCCACTACTGCCCCTTCTGCCGCTCTTGCACCCTCTGTTTCTCCTGTTCCTGCTGCCTCTGCCTCTGCCTCTGCTGCTGCTAGAAACCGAGCACTTGAGCAGCTAGCAGCAGTCAGCGCTGCTGCTGCTGCCACCCTAAGGCCCTCCCTCTCTGCCGCCCTCAAATCCGCGTCACCCCGTTCATTTGCCACGTCAGCTGGTCCCAACGCATCAGATGGTCCAGACGCCACGTCATCAGATGCTCCCCGTCCAGTGAAACGATCAGCCAACTTTGATAAAGCTAACTTTAACCGCCAACCAGCTGCTGCCAAGTCATCATCCGTGTCGTCCCTGTCAGTAGGAGCAGACCCAGAAGCACCAGGAGTAGCAGGAGCAGCAACGGGCATAAGGGGTGACCATGCAGGTGCAATTGATGCTGGTATGCCTGTGACCAGTATGGGAAGGGGAAGCGCAATCTCAGGAGGGGGAAGTGCAACCTCAGTGGTAGATGCAGTCAACAGAGCGACATCAAAAGAAGCAGCGAAGCAGGCCCTTCGATCCCACCTCCTCAAGTCATCAGCTTTCACCCAACCCGCTGATGCCACAGCGACTGACGCCATGATACCTCCAACGCCATCCATGCCTGCTTCTTCGCCTCTCCAACCAGCCCAAGAGTTCACCGTCCCTCTTCCCTTCTCTGTCTCCTCCTCCTCTTACACAGCTGCAGCAGCGGCAGCAGCAGCAGCAGCAGCAGCAGCAGCAGCAGCAGCAGCAGCAGCAGCAGCAGCAGCAGCAGCAGCAGCAGCAGCAGCAGCAGCAGCAGCAGAGGCAGCAGAGGCAGCTCCCACAGGTGCACCTTCAAGAAATATCGCATCTCCCCTTTCCGATCAAGAACCATCCTCTTCTCAAGAGGCAGACCCCCTCTCCTCTGACTGCTTCTCCTCCAGGTTACTCGCCCCCTCGCCGCCCTCTGCTCTCGACATTCTCAGGCAGGAGCTGGGAGGGGGTGTTGCTGAAGCTGTTGTGGCTGCTCTTGCCTCGGGCCAACTCAGCCTGCTCTCCTCACCCCCATCATCTTCCTCTCTATCTCCTTCTTCCTCCTCTTTCCCCTCCTCGTCTTCATCCTCCCGTCCCTCCTCCACCACCTCCTCCTCCTCCCCTGCTTCCTCTTCTCCCTCCCTCCCTTCCTCCACCCCTCTCCTCCCCATCATTCTCCTACAGTGCAGCACAGCAGACTATGTCGTTCCTCCCGAAACATCCCTCTCCCTCATCCGCTCACTTCAACACCTCAACTCCTTCCTTCTCCCCTCGCCTCCTCCTAGCCTGCTCAAGCTTGGGGGAGAGGGGGGAGGATTGGCAGTTGAAGGAATGGGGGTAACGGGGGAGGGATCAGGAGGAGTAGGAGGGGGAGTGGGGATTCGGGCGAAGGCTTTGGTTTATGACGACGCTGGTCATCCGGATTTTGCGTGCTGGGCTGTGAGGGGCGAGAGGAGAGGGAGAAGGGATGGGGAGGTGAATGGGGGAGAGGGTAGCGTTAAGGGTGGATCAAAGGGCGGGGTGAGTGAAGGAAGGAAGGAAGAGGAAGGGGAATGGAAGGGAGGGATGTTAATGAGGAGCAAGAGCATGAGGAAACTGAGTCAACTGAGGCAAGAAGCAGAGGGGCGAGAGGGTGATTCAGGGACCAAGGATGGGGAGGAAGGGGAGGAAGTGGCAGGGCAGGTGTTATCCAGTGGAGGTGCTTCTGATGAGATGGCTTGTGTGCGAGATAGCCTTGATATTGTCACTGGGCGAGTGTCGCTGGAAGATATGGTGTGGCAGTAGTGTGGGGAGGAAAGCCTTGTGATACCTCGAGTTAAAGCACTATGGGTTGATTTCTTCACACAATTATCGATCTGGTTTGTATGCAGTAGAAGCAGTCGGTTTGAACTTGCTTGAATCAGTGTTTCAGCTCAGGGTAATACACTAACACTGGGTGTTTCTGTTGGGCTGAGAAAGCCCTTAGGATCTTTCAAGGCTAAGATCTGTGGTTGAAGTAGGAATGTTGTATTTGCGGAAGCGTTTTAATATCAGAGTTGCTGAACCACCTTGTACTAGTGTGTGAGAACAAGATAAGTTGATAATAGCAGGGAAAAACAAGGCTTTTATATGGTTACAAAGGAATATGAAAGTTTGGTTTTAACTGTTTTGCTGTTGCGATTCGATACAGTGCCGACTCGGGTAACTGCTCAGTATCGAGTCAGTTATGTGTCCTTGCTGTCGCACTGTACTTTTCGTCGAGTCAAAGGTCAGCGACCTTTGACCTTCGCGTAACCTCCAGCGGTTGCTTTTGTTGACTCGTGTTGCTTCGCTGTAATCTGCTCCCTTTCGTGTCGATACTTCGACACTTCAGAAGCGTTTTAAGTTACTTGTTTCCAACACTCCCCTTCGCTTCTGGAGTATCGCTGCTGATGACGTGTCCTTGTCCAGTCAGCAACATGCAGTACTCGAACTTCTGTTTTCCGAGTTTCTTGGTCAAGTAATCGGCTGCCATCTCGGATGTGGGACAGTAGGATAACTCGAGTCTTCCCTTTTCGATTTCGTCTTTTACGAAGTACCGGAGGGCGATGTGCTTCGTTCGATTCGCGAACCCATTTTTGTTCGCTATGCGAATGGCCGATTGGTTGTCGCAGAAGAGGGAGAAGCTGGGTAACTGAGCCAATTTTGCTTCCTCCAGCAATTCGCGAAGATATAGCCCTTCCTTGGTGGCTGAGCAGAGTGCGATATATTCTGCTTCTGCTGAGGAGAGAGCGATTAGCTCTTGTTTGTTCGACTGCCATGAGATAGGCCCGATAGGTTCGAGTCTGTAGATGTAGCTAGTTCGAGATCGTCTGTTGTCGGAATCTCCAGCATGATCGGCGTTGACGTAGCCGATTAACTTAGGTGTCGTAGGTCCGGTCTTGTGGTAGGTTAGTCCAATCGTCGGAGTGCTGACGAGGTAGTGAAGTGCTCGGTCGAGTTCAAGCATGTGCTCTGCTTCAGGCTTCTTGAGGTAGGTAGCGAGTTGACTAGCTGAGTAGGATAAATCCGGTCGGCAGGTAATGGCTGCGAAGAGTAGGCAGCCTTACTTTCGTTGGTAGTTGCGGATGCCGGCAGGTTTGAGTAGGGCGGAGGCTTTGCGATTTCCGTTGGTGTAGCGGTGTGGCGTGGAGATGACGGTTGGAGTGAGTCCGAAACGTTTAGCGATAGTCTTAGTGTATTTTTCGGCGCTGAGGTAGATTGCATTGTCGCCGTCTTGAATGTTCAGTCCCAGGTACTGTGTCATGGTAGTTGCGACGGTGAGTGTAAGATCCTGCTGCAGCTCCCCTTAAAACCAGGTTGTTATGTCGTCGGTGGAGCCAATGTAGAGGAGGTCGTCTACGTAGACGATGAGTAGAATATAGTCGGTACCTTTCGTAAGTCGGTACATCCCTTGGTCGTGCGGTAGTTAGAGGAATCCGATGCGGATTAGGCGGGCGTGAAGATGCTGCTGCCACAGTCTCGGGGCTTGTTTGATACCGTACAATGACTTTTCTAGCTGACAGACTTGGTTGGGGTCTGTGTTAGACCCGTGCGGGAGTTCGACGAAGATCTCAGCATCGACAGGGGCGTATAGAAAGGCGTTGGCGACATCGATTTGCCGAAGCTTCTTCCGGTTCATGGCGGCTATCGCAAGGAGAATTCGCAGTGAGGTATGTCGGCTTACTGGTGCAAATGTTTCCGTGAAGTCTCGTCCTTGTTCTTGGTCGAAGCCACGTACGACCCATCGTGCCTTGAACTTGTCGATTGTACTGTCGGCTTTTGTTTTCACGCGGAAAACCCATTTTCCCGTGAGAATGGTCTTGTTGCGTGCCACTTCGATAGGTACGACTTTCCAGGTGTTGCGTTCTTGCAGCGCCTTTAACTCTCTGTCCATGGATTCACGCCATTTTTCCTTGTGTTCCCCCCCCAGAGCCTGCTGAATGTTGGCAGGCTCCTTAGGCGGTGCTGCTCCGTGGACAGCGGTGACAAGTCCCAGTATCTGGAGTCCACTCTGTGTGTAGCGAGGGAGATTTGCGTCCTCGGGATAAGCTGCTTCATCTCCGGCTTCTGGATCTGGTAAGAAATTTGGTCCTATGCATTCGGAGACGTTGGTGTTGACCGGTTGGAGTGTAACGTAACCGGTGTCGGCGAAGTCGAAGTAGGTTTCGGCGTTGACACTGTCGCGAGGGTTTTCGTCATCCATTGGGATGGGCACGGAGCAGTATGGGAGTGGTCCTGCTTCCTCATATGCGTTGTCCACTATCTGCTCGTCCCAATCAGCTTCGTCTGCTGGTGAAGCAAAAGCTCGGTTGCCACGGAAGCCGCCCGTAAGGTCTCGATTTGCTGCCAGGCTGTCCAGGTACGTTTGAAGTGTGAGTCGCTCGTAGAAGATGACATCACGTGCTGCTACTGTTTCCTTCGAGTGAATGTCGAAAATCTTCCATGCGTTGTAATGCTTCTCTATGCCCAGGTGTTGTCCCCACTGTGCGCGTCGAGAAAACCTTCCGGCTCGTGCAGTGTGCGGTCGGTACTGTACTATGCACCCAAAAACTCGTAACATTTTTGTGTTGCCCAATTTTCCTGTCCATAGCAGGTGCGGTGATGCGTTGTTCGGGAGCGATGATGACGAGAGCAAGTTGTGTAGCATAACAGCGTGGTCCATCGCCTCAGGCCACTAGTGGCTGGGCAGTCGCATGCCACGCAACAGTTTGCGCATGGTGTTCTGGAGAGTTCTGTTCATCCGTTCTACCACGCCTTGCTGTTGATGGGCGTAGGGAAGCGAGATGAGTCGCTTGATGCCTCGTTCTGCGAGGTACTGTGTGAACCTTTGTGATTGATATTCTCCTCCTCCGTCTGACTGGAAGCTTTTCAGCTTTGCTCCTGATTCTCGTTCTGCCACAGGTAGCCAGGCGACGAAGGCTTCGAAGGCCATGTCGCGACTTGGGAGGTTGAGGTGCCAGACGTACCGGGTGGCGGCGTCGATGAAAGTAATCACGTAGTTATCTGCTCCTTGTCCTTGTTTGCGAGTATACAGGATGTCGCTGTATACTTTCTCGAGTGGTGCGTAGGTTGGCGCACTTGGATTGTGGTGAGAGACGAATGGTTGATGAGGTAAGTCAGCTTCGGGGCACGTAAAGCATGTGCCTCGAACTCGTTGGAGTTCTCTGCCGTCGGGTACAAGGAGTGAGTCTTTGTCGAGTACAGCCGCCTTGATTGTGTTGTTCAACGTGGTGTTGCTTGGATGACCTAATCGTTCGTGCCACAGTGATTCGCTTGCACGATGTTCGGGTGAGCGCTTATACAGGTCGGAGTTGGAGTAAAATCCCGCGGTGAAGTTGGCACTTCTGTGAACTTCGCGTGGAGTGGGAGCTAACTGATGCGCAGGAGTAAGTGGAGTGTCCTCGGTGAGAACTGGTGCTGTTGAAGAGCCCGCGATTGGTGTCGTAAGTGGTGCTGCTGCTGCCGATGTTACCTCTTCTTGTCGGATTGTTGCTAATGCCCGTGTTCTTTCTGCTTCAGGTATGGTATGTGAATACCAAAATCCTCCAGGGCTGAAGTCGGGATCGAGGTCGGGTGGATGTGTCCAAGAAGTGAAGTTGACGATGGCGTCGCTGTCGGCGGTGCCTTGGTCCGGAACGAAGTCAAGAACGAAGACGTTGTTCTTCAAGACTGCCTTGCCGATGTAGAGTCCGCCTTTTCCGTGGAATAACTTGAACTCCTGAGTGGTGCTGTCTGCTTCGAGATGAATACCCTTAGCCATCAGTTGACTGACGCTGAGTAAGTTGTAGCCGAGTCCTTCTGCAATTAGAACTTTAGACATTTGTAAGATAACGTTAGTTTCTCGAGATTGAAGTTGCACAATCCCTTGCCGGCGTGTATGCAGGTTCTGGTTGTTGGTGACAGTGATTACAACTTCGCGCTGAAGTTGATGTTCCTGTTGAACGAAGCGACCCGAGGAGCACATGTGCTGTCCGCGGCAACTGTCCAAGAACCAAGTGTCTTTTCCGGACGGCTCGCTCTGGGCGACGGCTGCATACGTCGGGTTGGGCTCCAGTGATTCGCGGCGAGGAGTCCTCTCATCGAGTTGTTCTTCTGGTGAGTAGTGGGGTGGTGATCGAGTGATGCAGGAGTCTATTGTTCTTGTCATGCAGCTCACGATATTTCTTGTTCCTTGTGCAGGTTTTGTCGTTGAGGACGTTGAAGACTGCACTCGATTGGTGGGATGTGCCTGCGTAGAAGCTACTTGGCTGCTTGAAGGTCGAAGTTGACGTTGCGGCGACGTCGACTGCTGCTGATTCGGGCAGTGTGTGCGCGGATGTCCGGACGTATTGCAAAGATGACAGAACGGTGGGACGTACTGTTGTACTTGTCGGTTGTTCTTGTTGTTGTAGCGTCGTTGAGTGTGAAAAGCAAATTCTGGTGCTGACGCTTTCTTCTTGTGTCTTTCCTCGTGCAGATCCATATCCTGCTGTTCAGCGTGAATTTCGGCGCAGAGTGCTGCTTCGGAGTTTTTCCCGTGAGCTCGAAGGAGTGCTCGAGTGGAGCGCCATGTTAGAATGTTATATTGCTTACTTTGTGTAGGCTATAGTGGTACAACCCAATTAGGATTAGTACTTGTACCCAACTCTTTCATAGTTCATCCATTCTCGTTCATTCTCTTGACATGGTTTTAGAGCAGGTCCTCCGCTAGAACCGGTTTTCTTAGGCCCACCACTGAACTGCTACTAGCGACCCTCGTGTTGCCCCTAGGCCCGTCGCCCCTAGGCTCGTCGACCCCTAGCCCG